GAATAATAGGCTTAGAGGTAGTATTCAAAGTTGCGAACTAAGTACCTATTATAAATATATATTTACTTTGCGTTTTGCACTCGGACCAAGAAGTCTAAAGTTCATCAGGTTATGAGCCCAAGTTCGTCAGACTCTGAAACCGCCAACAATTCAAGCTTAGCTGCCATGGACGCCTCCCTCCCTCCGCATCTCCAAGTTCGATGGAACTAACTTCCACGCCTGGAAGTTCAAGATGCAGATGGTGCTGGAGGAACGGGACCTATGGGAGGTCGTCAGCGGTGAGATCAAGGCGGAACAGTGCGAGACTCAGTTGGACCAAGCGACGTACAAGAGGAAGTCAAGAAAGGCGATGGCAGTGATCTGTCTAGCCATGGAAGATTCCCAGCTACCGTTGGTCCGGTCGGCAAGTGGTGCATGCGACGCATGGTCAAGGTTGGAAGACCACTTCGAGAAGAAGAGTCTTGCCAACAAGCTGTTCTTGCGCCGTCGCTTCTTCACGACAATGATGGAAGAAGGCGACGATGTGCTCGAACACATCAACAAGCTCAAGACGCTGGCGGAACAGCTAGAAGCGGTGGGGGCTCCAGTCTGCGAGGACGATCTGGTGATCACACTTCCTCGGCAGCCTGAGTGACTCGTATCAATTCTTGATCACAGCTTTGGAGTCGCGCTCAGACACTCTTAGCTGGGAGCTCGTGACGTCTCAACTGCTTCATGAAGAAATGAAGCGGAAGGAGCAAGGAAGTAAAGGTGATGAAGCTTCGCAAGGTCAAGCGTTCATCACAAGGGACAATCAGCGCAAAGGGCGACCAGTGAAGAAGTCCTGGCCGTGCCACAATTGCGGAAAAGATTGGTCACTGGATGGCGGAGTGCCCCTCGCGCATCCAAGAAAACACGGAGAGACACCGGACACAGCGTGCTCAAGACAGCGGCGACCGCTATCGATCACAACGTGCAAACGTCGCTCAAGAAGAAGACTCGGGCGACTACCTCTTTTCGATCGGTGAAACGACATCTGCAAAATCGAGCGACATCTGGCTGGTCGACTCCGGGGCGACGCAGCACATGACGTGCTCCAAGAAGTTCATGCGGAACTACAAGGGGTTTGACGCTGTGGATGTCCATCTCGCGGATGATGGAATCGTCCAAGCAATCGGCAGTGGGGACATTGTCATGTCGATGAAGACACCCCAAGGGATGAAGAAAGGTGTGCTCACAAACGTGTGGCACATCCCAAAGTTATCCAGAAACCTGTTCTCGGTCGGCCGCTTCACCAAGGATGTCGGCCCAGTGACGTTCACGAAGGATGGGTGCTATGGAGAAGCGAAAGGGACCAAGTGGAAAATTGGTGCCCGTGAAGGTAAAGGACTGTTCAAGCTGCAAATGACTCCAGTGGCGCCGGAACAAGCAAATGCAGCCAAGTCGTCGGGATGTCAAGGGGGCACCAAGTCGTACCTCTGGCACCTTCGGCTTGGCCACATAGGTCACGATGGACTCAATTGCATCGTGACGAAGAACATTGGAATTGGCATCGACATATCTTCGGTGAAGAAGTGGGACGTGTGTGAAGGTTGTGCTCTGGGAAAACAGACTCGAGTGCGCTTCCAATCAAACACTACAGCTCGCACCTCCAAACTCCTCGAAGTGATTCACAGCGACGTATGCGGACCGATGTCGATGGCAACTTTCAGTGGAAAACGGTACTTCGTGACATTCATTGATGACAAGTCAAGATACTGTGTCGTCTATCTGCTCAAGAGCAAATCTGAAGTTGCGGCGAAGTTCATGGAATACGCTGCGATGGCCGAAACGCAAACCGGAAAGCGCGTGAAGTACCTTCAAAGCGACAATGGGGGTGAATACAAGTCCGACAAGCTGGCACGATTCTGCGCGGAACGGGGAATACAACAAAGGTTCACACCCCCATATACTCCTCAGCTAAACGGAGTAGCTGAGAGAATGAATCGCACGCTGGTCGAGTGTGCGCGTTGCATGATGGAACACGCTGGACTGGGAAAGAGCTACTGGGGTGAAGCAGTGATGACGGCGATGTTTCTTCGAAACCGCTGTCCAACACGTGCCATTCACCAAGACAAGTCTCCATATCAAGTGTGGACGATGAAGAAACCGATTCTGGCCAACCTTAAAGTGTTTGGATGCCACGCGTATGTTCAAGTGCCTCAAGACAAACGCGCGAAGTTCGACTCCAAGTCATCACTCTGTCGTTTCCTGGGATACGCCGAACACCAGAAGTCATATCGATTTGAGGAAGTGTCAACAGGAGCGATCAAGATCAGTCGCGATGCCACATTCATGGAAGACAAGTTTGATGAAGGTCCGCGCAACTACAACGATGAGTCAAGTGTCGTTGAGTTTGATGATCATGATGAGGACGAAGAAAAAGAAGAAGGTAAAACTGACGACGACATGGACTCGAGCGACGATGACAACGAAGACACCAGGTCTTCGAAGAGCAACATCAAGAGACACACGCGCACTCAATCACTTGAGAAAGCTACCGTCATTCCAAGTCCCAAGCGAAGAACGTACAGAGGTCCGTCGCTTGAGCATGTGTCAGCGGCTGCAATGGATTTTGAAGCAGCCTACATCGTTGATTCAGTGGGGGAAACGCCGACTACATTCAAGTCGGCGATGGAATCAAGCGACTCCGGCAAGTGGAAAGAAGCGTGTGACTCGGAGTTCGACTCGCTTCAGAGAAACGACACGTGGGATATCGTGCCTCTTCCGAAAGGTCGCAAGGCCATCGGGTGCCGATGGGTTTTTCGTGTAAAGGAGAATCAAGATGGCGAAGTTGAACGTTTCAAGGCAAGACTTGTGGCCAAAGGATTCTCACAGAAATTCGGAGTTGACTATGAAGAAACTTTCGCACCGGTGGCCAAGTTCACATCGATTCGTGTGGTGCTCAGTATGGCGGCTAAGTACGGCCTAATGCTACATCAGATGGACGTCAAGACAGCGTTTCTTAACGGCTCCCTCAACGAAGACATCTACATGGACCAGCCGGACGGATACCTGGATGCAACACAGCCGGACTATGTGTGCAAGCTAAAGAGATCACTCTACGGCTTGAAGCAATCGCCTCGCATGTGGAACCAAACAATCGATGGGTTCATGATCAAGATGGGATTCAAGAAGTGCGAATCGGACCACTGCATCTACATCAAGCGAGACGACCAAGACATGATTCTCGTGGTGCTCTACGTCGATGATCTCATCCTGGCCAGCAGCAACAACGAACTCCTCAAGTCAACCAAGATGGCGCTGAGCAAACGCTTCGAAATGACGGATCTCGGTGAGCTCGATTACTTTCTCGGCATGGAGATCAAGAACGACCGTAAGACGGGAATGGTGACTGTACAACAAACCAAGTTTCTCAAGTCCGTGTTAACCAAGTTCGGAATGGATAACAGCAAGCCAGTGAAGACGCCTCAAGATCCCGGCCTGAAGCTAACCAAGAACATGTGTGAACAAGAATGCAAGCACGAAGACACCATGTGCAACGTGCCATATCGAAGTGCTGTCGGAGGCATCATGTATCTCATGGTCGCCACACGTCCGGATCTAGCTGCTGCAGTGGGATCATTATCCCAGTTCTCGTCCGACCCATGCCCGACTCACTGGCAAGCTTTGAAGCGTGTGCTGAGATACCTGCAAGCAACGCCCAACCATGGTCTTGAGTTTACACGTGAAGAAGGAAGCCGTATCTGCGGGTACACCGACGCAGACTGGGCCGGCGACATTGAGTCAAGACGAAGTACAAGCGGCTATGTGTTCATGATGAGCGGAGGATGCATCAGCTGGAAAAGCCAGAAACAACGGACGGTCGCGCTATCTTCAACAGAAGCAGAATACATGGCGCTTTCCGAAGCAACCAAAGAAGCAGTATGGCTCAAGGTGCTTTTGGGGGAACTTGGTGAGATGACAAGCGACGAAGCGATCAAGATGTATGAAGACAACCAAGGATCAATCGCTCTCGCCAAGAACCCGGAGTTCCATAAGAGAACAAAACACATCGACATACGCTACCATTTTGTGCGTGAGAAGGTGGAATCAGGTGAAGTCGTTTTGGAGTATTGCCCGACTCAAGATATGCTGGCAGACATGATGACCAAGCCGATCGCCGCTGTACAATTTGAAAACATTCGCGATCGACTTGGGATCCAAGGTGCCGCAGCTAACGAGTCGAGAGGGAGTGTTGAAAAGACAGCGGCTGTGAAGAAGACACCTCGTCAAGCTGCGTCAAGTGTTGAAGCAAGTGGAAGACCAAGCTTCGCTATACCGGTGGGTACCGGTATGTACCAGTAAGGGCGAAGTCAGGAAATGACGTCACTGGATGACGTCATTGCATGACGTCAGTGGGTGACGTCAGTGGGTGACGTCACTGGATGACGTCACTGCGAATAATAGGCTTAGAGGTAGTATTCAAAGTTGCGAACTAAGTACCTATTATAAATATATATTCACTTTGCGTTTTGCACTCGGACCAAGAAGTCTAAAGTTCATCAATCACTGCTTCACCCCAGTAGCTCTTTCCCAGTCCAGCGTGTTCCATCATGCAACGCGCACACTCGACCAGCGTGCGATTCATTCTCTCAGCTACTCCGTTTAGCTGAGGAGTATATGGGGGTGTGAACCTTTGTTGTATTCCCCGTTCCGCGCAGAATCGTGCCAGCTTGTCGGACTTGTATTCACCCCCATTGTCGCTTTGAAGGTACTTCACGCGCTTTCCGGTTTGCGTTTCGGCCATCGCAGCGTATTCCATGAACTTCGCCGCAACTTCAGATTTTCTCTTGAGCAGATAGACGACACAGTATCTTGACTTGTCATCGATGAATGTCACGAAGTACCGTTTTCCACTGAAAGTTGCCATCGACATCGGTCCGCATACGTCGCTGTGAATCACTTCGAGGAGTTTGGAGGTGCGAGCTGTAGTGTTTGATTGGAAGCGCACTCGAGTCTGTTTTCCCAGAGCACAACCTTCACACACGTCCCACTTCTTCACCGAAGATATGTCGATGCCAATTCCAATGTTCTTCGTCACGATGCAATTGAGTCCATCGTGACCTATGTGTGCCAAGCCGAAGGTGCCAGAGGTACGACTTGGTGCCCCCTTGACATCCCGACGACTTGGCTGCATTTGCTTGTTCCGGCGCCACTGGAGTCATTTGCAGCTTGAACAGTCCTTTACCTTCACGGGCACCAATTTTCCACTTGGTCCCTTTCGCTTCTCCATAGCACCCATCCTTCGTGAACGTCACTGGGCCGACATCCTTGGTGAAGCGGCCGACCGAGAACAGGTTTCTGGATAACTTTGGGATGTGCCACACGTTTGTGAGCACACCTTTCTTCATCCCTTGGGGTGTCTTCATCGACATGACAATGTCCCCACTGCCGACTGCTTGGACGGTTCCATCATCCGCGAGATGGACATCCACAGCGTCAAACACCTTGTAGTTCCGCATGAACTTCTTGGAGCACGTCATGTGCTGCGTCGCCCCGGAGTCGACCAGCCAGATGTCGCTTGATTTCGCAGATGTCGTTTCACCGATCGAGAAGAGGTAGTCGTCCGAGTCTTTTTCTTGAGCGACATTTGCACGTTGTGATCGATAACGGTCGCCACTGTCTTGAGCGCGCTGTGGCCGGTGTCCCTCCGTGTTTTCTTGGATGCGCGAGGGGCACTCCGCCATCCAGTGACCAATCTTTCCGCAATTGTGGCACGGCCAGGACTTCTTCACTGGTCGCCCTTTGCGCTGATTGTCCCTTGTGATGAACGCTTGACCTTGCGAAGCTTCATCACCTTTACTTCCTTGCTCCTTCCGCTTCATTTCTTCATGAAGCAGTCGAGACGTCACGAGCTCCCAGCTAAGAGTGTCTGAGCGCGACTCCAAAGCTGTGATCAAGAATTGATACGAGTCACTCAGGCCGCCGAGAAGTGTGATCACCAGATCGTCCTCGCAGACTGGAGCCACCACCGCTTCTAGCTGTTCCGCCAGCGTCTTGAGCTTGTTGATGTGTTCGAGCACATCGTCGCCTTCTTCCATCATTTTCGTGAAGAAGCGACGGCGCAAGAACAGCTTGTTGGCAAGACTCTTCTTCTCGAAGTGGTCTTCCAACCTTGACCATGCGTCGCATGCACCACTTGCCGACCGGACCAACGGTAGCTGGGAATCTTCCATGGCTAGACAGATCACTGCCATCGCCTTTCTTGACTTCCTCTTGTACGTCGCTTGGTCCAACTGAGTCTCGCACTGTTCCGCCTTGATCTCACCGCTGACGACCTCCCATAGGTCCCGTTCCTCCAGCACCATCTGCATCTTGAACTTCCAGGCGTGGAAGTTAGTTCCATCGAACTTGGAGATGCGGAGGGAGGAAGCGTCCATGGCAGCTAAGCTTGAATTGTTGGCGGTTTCAGAGTCTGACGAACTTGGGCTCATAACCTGATGAACTTTAGACTTCTTGGTCCGAGTGCAAAACGCAAAGTGAATATATATTTATAATAGGTACTTAGTTCGCAGCTTTGAATACTACCTCTAAGCCTATTATTCGCAGTGACGTCATCCAGTGACGTCACCCACTGACGTCATCCAGTGACGTCACCCACTGACGTCACCCACTGACGTCATGCAATGACGTCATCCAGTGACGTCATTTCCTGACTTCGCCCTTACTGGTACATACCGGTACCCACCGGTATAGCGAAGCTTGGTCTTCCACTTGCTTCAACACTTGACGCAGCTTGACGAGGTGTCTTCTTCACAGCCGCTGTCTTTTCAACAAAATGCACACTTGCCGCTGTCAGTCATCTCGAATCGCGTCTTCAGGTCGGTCTTGGTGCGTGCAATTAGCTCGCATGAGCTACCGGTGATCAACACGTCATCCACATACACCAGCAGCAGCACGCATTGCCCTTCCACGATCCTTATGTAGAGACACGGGTCGAGGCTTGACGCTTGAAATCCAATAGCACATACGAACTCGTCAAATGTTTCGTTCCATACGCGCGACGCTTGCTTGAGTCCGTAGATTGCCTTCACCAACTCGAGACAATCGAAGGAGTCCTCCAATTCCACGCCTTCAGGGATGACGCAGAACACTTGTTCCTTCATGACACCATACAGGAATGCCGTCACCACGTCGAGTTGGTCGATAGTCCATCCGGAAATACTTTGCGACTGCAATCACCATGCGCAGCGTCACGTACTTGACGACGGGCGAGAATGTTTCCGTGTAATCCATCCCATATTGTTGATTGAAACCCTTTGCCACAAGGCGTGCCTTGTACTTGTCAATTGATCCGTCCGCTTTGCGCTTGATCTTGAAGACCCACTTGTTGCATTGTAGATCGGAGCGAGGAAAGCGGAGCGAACGGAGCGGAGAGACCGAAGAGAGTAGAGCAGAAAACACTTGCCCAATAGTTGGAAGATTCGAAAGTGATTGATTATCGGGGCTTACTACTTACTACATGATTTATATGTGGTGTACATATAAATCATGTGAAGCGTCTCATCATCCTACGCGTCTAATCAACTATGGTAATTACCGTAAGAACTACGTCGTAAATACTAAGCTGAACAGGCGGTTCGGATTGGATCGGTCACGGTTACCAATACTGGTAGAAAACCGATGACCGTCAACACGCCCCCTCAATCCGAATGCTCACGAATCCCGAGAGCCATCGTCATCTCCTTGTGGCGTGGTCCATGAAGTCCCTTCGTCATGATGTCCGCTAACATCACCACAGTTTCACAATACTTGAGCTTCACTTCACCGCGCTTGACCTCATCACGGATGTGATGGTACTTGATATCAATGTGCTTGGCACGGCCGTGGTTGACCGGGTTCTTCGTCATCTTGATACATGGCTGATTGTCTTCATGAATCATGAGTTCCGGTCCTTCTTCATTGGCAGCCATCACGATCTCACAAAGCAGACGATGAATCCACTTGCCCTCTTGAATCGCCAAGCTGAGTGCGATGTATTCAGCTTCAGTCGTGGACAACGAAACACTTGGCTGCTTCTTGCTGCCCCAACTCACTGGCGCACCGAGTAGCATGAACGTGTACCCCGATGTTGACTTGCGGTCGGTAAGATCACCAGCCCAATCCGCATCCGAATATCCACGGAAGTCGATCCTTGCACTTGGCTTGTAGCAAATTCCATGCGTCTTGGTGCCTTGTAGGTAGCGAAAGATACGCTTAACTGCAACCCAGTGTTCTTCTTGGGGATTTTCCATGAACCGCGACACATAGCCCACAGCAAACGCAATGTCCGGACGCGTTGCAGTGGTCAGGTGCATCAACGCACCAACAGCTTCGCGAAAAGGAGCATCGACCTTGGTAGTTGCATCACTTGAAACAAGTCGAGAGCTCATGTCGACTGGACTTGCGACTGCCTTGCAATCATCCATGCCAAAGCGCTTGAGGATATCATCGACATACCGACGCTGACATAGTGTCACACTGCCATCTTCACCGTCCAAAAGCTCGATCCCAAGAACAAACGCACACTTGCCGCTGTCCGTCATTTCGAACCGCGTCTTCAGGTCGTTCTTGGTTTGTGCAATCAGCTCGAGCGAGCTTCCAGTCACCAAGACGTCGTCCACGTAGACCAGTATAAACACGCAATGGCCGTCCGAAGTCTTGATGTAGAGACATGGGTCGAAGTCCGATACTTGAAATCCGATGGAGCACACATACTCGTCGAACGTCTCGTTCCACACTCGCGACGCTTGCTTGAGGCCGTAAATTGACTTCACCAATTCCAGGCAGTCGAACGTACTGTCAAGTTCGACGCCTTCAGGAATCACGCAGAACACTTGTTCCTTCATGACGCCATACAGGAAAGCTGTCACCACATCAAGCTGGTCGATGGGCCATCCAAAATGCTTGGAAATTGCGATCACCATTCGCAGCGTCACATACTTTACCACAGGCGAAAACGTCTCCGTGTAGTCGATGCCATACTTTTGGCGGAAACCCTTGGCCACAAGTCGTGCCTTGTACTTCTCGATTGACCCATCCGCCTTGCGCTTGATCTTGAACACCCATTTTGTGCCAATGGCGCGTTGTCCGTTGGGCAGCTTGGCTGCACGAAACACACCGCGAAGTCGCATTGACTCGAGCTCTGCATGAATTGCTTTTCTCCAGTGCACTTGGTCAGGGCCGCTTACTGCTGCTTCAAATGTTGAGGGTTCTGATAAGTCCACTGCTGCTTCAACGGCATTTGCACTCGCACGCCAAAACACAGGCGGTGTTGAATCACCAGAATCCTTCGTTTCTTTATCTTCTTCTTGGCGTGACGAGTTGTTTTCCGGCGCGCTTGACTCTTCTAGTCCTGGTCGTTGACGCACTGCACGCGGTCGTGGAGCTGCTGTATCTTCATCATTGAGTCGGTTCTTGCGCTTGCCTGTTTGCTTGTACTCCATTTGACGCAGCTCTTCGTCATCAAGATCCAGCAATTCGAAGTCCAGGTCATCGACATCTTCATCAGTGATCGGCAGTTGAAGTCCAAAGGTGGACTCGTCGAAGTTGACATCGCGGCTGATAACCACCTGCCCCGCCTCGATGTCATAAACACGATATGCCTTCGAAACTTCTTCGTAGCCCACGAATATGCCAGCGCGAGCCTTTGGATCCCACTTGAGTCGATTCTCTTTAGGCGTCAGTATGTATGTCTGACACCCGAATGTTCGCATGTGCTTGACGCTTGGTTTCAAGTTGTAGACGATCTCAAACGGGGGTCTTGTGCACGACTTTAGGTGACGGCAGTCGATTCTTGACGTAGATGGCCGTCATCGCTGCTTCGGCCCAGAAACACTTGTCCAGTTTGGCATGATGAAGCATGCTGCGGCCGATCGTGACAATAGTCCTAATGGCACGCTCTGCTGTTCCGTTTGTTTGATGTGCATACGGCACCGTTGTCTGCTGTTCAATGCCTTCGTCTTCGTAGAACAGTTGAAGCGAGTTGGTTGCAAACTCGCGAGCTCCGTCGTGTCGCACGAACTTGACCTTCTTACAGAATTGCGTCTGTACCATGGTGATATATTTCCGGATGTAGTCTTCACTCTCGGACTTCACTCGTAGACAAAAGCCCTTCATGCATCCACTGGCTTCGTCGATGATCAGCAGCAAATATTTGCTGCCACCGAGCGAATCCTTTTCCATGGGCCCGCAGATGTCCAGATGAAGTAGCTCAAACGTATCGTAGCTGCGCTTGTCTCGGTTGCTTCGAAATGGTTTTTGGACCATATTCCCTTGTTGACATCCTCGACATGTAGTTGCTCCACCCGACTTGAGAGGGACTCGCACATCCTTGATCATGTTGGTCGCGATCATCTTGCGAAGTACATCGACTGGAGCATGACCCATTCTCGCATGTAGATCGGCACAACTGGTTCCACTTGTTGTCACATTCGCTGATCGTTGAGTCGTCCGAAGCCAGTAAAGACCATCCACGAGAAAATCCGCTGTTGCCACCACTTACTGTGAGTTCTTGAGAGTCACATACATCTTGGACCCGTCAAACACGACTTGAAACTTGCCATGGCTGTTAATCTGTGGCACCGAGAGCAGGTTCTTGCTCATACTTGGAACATATAGCGCGTTCTTGATTTCGATCTCACGCTCTTCACCGTTGGGCAGAACCACCTTTTCCATGATGGTTCCTTGTTGATGGTCATCGGTTTCTACCAGTATTGGTAACCGTGACCGGTCCAATCCGAACCGCCTGTTCAGCTTAGTATTTACGACGTAGTTCTTACGGTAATTACCATAGTTGATTAGACGCGTAGGATGATGAGACGCTTCACATGATTTATATGTGCACCACATATAAATCATGTAGTAAGTAGTAAGCCCCGATAATCAATCACTTTCCAATCTTCCATCTACCCCCCAAGTGTCTTCTCCGGTCTTCCGAGTAGACTCCCAGCATCACTCCCAGTTTCGGTCGTCAAGCTTTTCACCAATCAACAGGTTATGAGCCCAAGCACGATGTCCTCTGCTCATGATGCCACCACCAAGATCTCCATCGACAAGTTCGACGGCGACAACTACGCGACGTGGAGCCGCTACATGCGTGGCGTGTTCCTGACCAAGTCGGCGTGGCACGTGGTGAACCGGGAGACCACCCCCACCTTCGCCGATCCTCGCGCCAGTGACGACTACATCAAGACGAACAACATTGCGTTCGGCTTAATGCTGCTGCACATGAGCGCGGATTATCATCACGTGGTTGATGACTGTGAAGAGGCGTGGGTCGCGTGGGCGCGTTTGAAGACGCTGTACGGTGGGTCGCAGAAGGCTGGACGCATCTACTTGAAGCGCCAGCTGTTCAGCATGGAGATGGCGGAAGGCGGCAATGTGATGCATCATTGCAACGAAGTCATCAACATCAGCGCGAAGCTCAGCAGCATCGGCGCCAAGATGGAGGACGAGGACGTGGCGATCTGCTTGTTGCGCAGCCTCCCCAAGAGCTACGAGAACGTCGTTCTCAACATGGAGATGAGCAGCGCGGAACTGCGATCGCGAGACGTCGTGAGAGTGCTCACGAATGAGCACATCAAGAGACAAGGTGACAAGACGACATCGGTGAAGACTGAAGACGCGGCGAAGGCGTTCAGTGCCGAGCGTGAACCTCGCCAGTGTACATACTGCGGAAAATTGGGGCACACGGCGGAGCGGTGCTGGACCAAGCAGAAGGACGAAAATCAAGGTGGAGCTCGACGCGGCGGCAACAATGCTCGTGGACGCGGAGCCAACAACGTTCAGTGGCGAACCAACAGCAACTACGATGACAACTACGATCGAGTTGCGTTCGCGGTTTCGCTGGAGGCTGGACTTTCGACGGGCAAGAATATGCCAGGGATGTGGGCAGTCGACAGCGGTGCGACGCATCACATCTGCAACGACAAGGCCAAGTTTGCAAGCCTGAATGAGCGAGAGGAAGGCGAACTATCAGTGGCTGATGGCAGCAAGGCTGCGATCAAGGGTGTGGGAACCATCATGGAACGGGTGGTTCTGCCCAATGGTGACGAACGCGACATCGAGATCAAGGACGCACTGTTCGTACCAAGTATGAGCAAGAATCTGCTTTCGGTGCCACAGATCAACAAGGGTGGCAGGTTCCAAGTCGTGTTCGATGGATCCAAGATGCAAGTGAAGCGCAAGAATTCCACACTAGTCGTGGCAACAGCGGATCTCGTCGATGGACTTTACTGGCTGCGGACTCCTCAACGATCGGCAAATGCAGCAACACGCAATGGGACCATCGACTTGCATGCGCGCATGGGTCATGCACCCCTCGAAGTTCTGCGCAAGATGGTGGCCACTGGCATGATCAAGGACGCCAAGGCACCTCTCAACTCGACTGGTCCGAGTGTGTGTCGCGGTTGCCAGCAAGGAAAGATGGTCCAAAAACCATTCCCAACCAACCGTGACAAACGCCAATATGGTGTGTTCGAGTTGCTGCACTTCGACATCTGCGGGCCAATGGAACAAGTCTCGATCGGCGGCAGCAGATACTTACTGCTTGTGGTTGACGAAGCTAGCGGTTGCATGAAGGGCTTCTGTCTGCGGTCCAAGTCTGAGAGTGAAGACTGTATCAAGAACCACATCATCAAGATTCAAACTCAGTTCGGCACGAAGATCAAGTTTGTTCGGCACGATGGAGCGCATGAGTTTGCGACCAACTCCATCAAGACCTTCTACGAAGATCATGGTATCGAACAACAGATCACGGTGCCGTATGCACACCAGACCAACGGCACCGCAGAACGCGCGATAAGGACCATCGTCACGATCGGACGCAGCTTGTTGCATCATGCAAAACTGGAGAAGTGTTTCTGGGCTGAAGCGGCAATGACGGCGATCTACATCAAGAACCGCCTGCCTTCACCCAAGATCGACCACAAGACTCCGTTCGAGATCGTGTACAAGTCGAAACCAAGTGTCAAGCACATGCGTGATGAACTTTAGACTTCTTGGTCCGAGTGCAAAACGCAAAGTGAATATATATTTATAATAGGTACTTAGTTCGCAACTTTGAATACTACCTCTAAGCCCATTATTCGCAGTGACGTCATCCAGTGACGTCACCCACTGACGTCACCCACTGACGTCATGCAATGACGTCATCCAGTGACGTCATTTCCTGACTTCGCCCTTACTGGTACATACCGGTACCCACCGGTATAGCGAAGCTTGGTCTTCCACTTGCTTCAACACTTGACGCAGCTTGACGAGGTGTCTTCTTCACAGCCGCTGTCTTTTCAACACTCCCTCTCGACTCGTTAGCTGCGGCACCTTGGATCCCAAGTCGATCGCGAATGTTTTCAAATTGTACAGCGGCGATCGGCTTGGTCATCATGTCTGCCAGCATATCTTGAGTCGGGCAATACTCCAAAACGACTTCACCTGATTCCACCTTCTCACGCACAAAATGGTAGCGTATGTCGATGTGTTTTGTTCTCTTATGGAACTCCGGGTTCTTGGCGAGAGCGATTGATCCTTGGTTGTCTTCATACATCTTGATCGCTTCGTCGCTTGTCATCTCACCAAGTTCCCCCAAAAGCACCTTGAGCCATACTGCTTCTTTGGTTGCTTCGGAAAGCGCCATGTATTCTGCTTCTGTTGAAGATAGCGCGACCGTCCGTTGTTTCTGGCTTTTCCAGCTGATGCATCCTCCGCTCATCATGAACACATAGCCGCTTGTACTTCGTCTTGACTCAATGTCGCCGGCCCAGTCTGCGTCGGTGTACCCGCAGATACGGCTTCCTTCTTCACGTGTAAACTCAAGACCATGATTGGGCGTTGCTTGCAGGTATCTCAGCACACGCTTCAAAGCTTGCCAGTGAGTCGGGCATGGGTCGGACGAGAACTGGGATAATGATCCTACTGCAGCAGCTAGATCCGGACGTGTGGCGACCATGAGATACATGATGCCTCCGACAGCACTTCGATATGGCACGTTGCACATGGTGTCTTCGTGCTTGCATTCTTGTTCACACATGTTCTTGGTTAGCTTCAGGCCGGGATCTTGAGGCGTCTTCACTGGCTTGCTGTTATCCATTCCGAACTTGGTTAACACGGACTTGAGAAACTTGGTTTGTTGTACAGTCACCATTCCCGTCTTACGGTCGTTCTTGATCTCCATGCCGAGAAAGTAATCGAGCTCACTGAGATCCGTCATTTCGAAGCGTTTGCTCAGCGCCATCTTGGTCGACTTGAGGAGTTCGTTGTTGCTGCTGGCCAGGATGAGATCATCGACGTAGAGCACCACGAGAATCATGTCTTGGTCGTCTCGCTTGATGTAGATGCAGTGGTCCGATTCGCACTTCTTGAATCCCATCTTGATCATGAACCCATCGATTGTTTGGTTCCACATGCGAGGCGATTGCTTCAAGCCGTAGAGTGATCTCTTTAGCTTGCACACATAGTCCGGCTGTGTTGCATCCAGGTATCCGTCCGGCTGGTCCATGTAGATGTCTTCGTTGAGGGAGCCGTTAAGAAACGCTGTCTTGACGTCCATCTGATGTAGCATTAGGCCGTACTTAGCCGCCATACTGAGCACCACACGAATCGATGTGAACTTGGCCACCGGTGCGAAAGTTTCTTCATAGTCAACTCCGAATTTCTGTGAGAATCCTTTGGCCACAAGTCTTGCCTTGAAACGTTCAACTTCGCCATCTTGATTCTCCTTTACACGAAAAACCCATCGGCACCCGATGGCCTTGCGACCTTTCGGAAGAGGCACAATATCCCACGTGTCGTTTCTCTGAAGCGAATCGAACTCCGAGTCACAAGCTTCTTTCCACTTGCCGGAGTCGCTTGATTCCATCGCCGACTTGAATGTAGTCGGCGTTTCCCCCACTGAATCAACGATGTAGGCTGCTTCAAAATCCATTGCAGCCGCTGACACATGCTCAAGCGACGGACCTCTGTACGTTCTTCGCTTGGGACTTGGAATGACGGTAGCTTTCTCAAGTGATTGAGTGCGCGTGTGTCTCTTGATGTTGCTCTTCGAAGACCTGGTGTCTTCGTTGTCATCGTCGCTCGAGTCCATGTCGTCGTCAGTTTTACCTTCTTTTTCTTCGTCCTCATCATGATCATCAAACTCAACGACACTTGACTCATCGTTGTAGTTGCGCGGACCTTCATCAAACTTGTCTTCCATGAATGTGGCATCGCGACTGATCTTGATCGCTCCTGTTGACACTTCCTCAAATCGATATGACTTCTGGTGTTCGGCGTATCCCAGGAAACGACAGAGTGATGACTTGGAGTCGAACTTCGCGCGTTTGTCTTGAGGCACTTGAACATACGCGTGGCATCCAAACACTTTAAGGTTGGCCAGAATCGGTTTCTTCATCGTCCACACTTGATATGGAGACTTGTCTTGGTGAATGGCACGTGTTGGACAGCGGTTTCGAAGAAACATCGCCGTCATCACTGCTTCACCCCAGTAGCTCTTTCCCAGTCCAGCGTGTTCCATCATGCAACGCGCACACTCGACCAGCGTGCGATTCATTCTCTCAGCTACTCCGTTTAGCTGAGGAGTATATGGGGGTGTGAACCTTTGTTGTATTCCCCGTTCCGCGCAGAATCGTGCCAGCTTGTCGGACTTGTATTCACCCCCATTGTCGCTTTGAAGGTACTTCACGCGCTTTCCGGTTTGCGTTTCGGCCATCGCAGCGTATTCCATGAACTTCGCCGCAACTTCAGATTTGCTCTTGAGCAGATAGACGACACAGTATCTTGACTTGTCATCGATGAATGTCACGAAGTACCGTTTTCCACTGAAAGTTGCCATCGACATCGGTCCGCATACGTCGCTGTGAATCACTTCGAGGAGTTTGGAGGTGCGAGCTGTAGTGTTTGATTGGAAGCGCACTCGAGTCTGTTTTCCCAGAGCACAACCTTCGCACACGTCCCACTTCTTCACCGAAGATATGTCGATGCCAATTCCAATGTTCTTCGTCACGATGCAATTGAGTCCATCGTGACCTATGTGGCCAAGCCGAAGGTGCCAGAGGTACGACTTGGTGCCCCCTTGACATCCCGACGACTTGGCTGCATTTGCTTGTTCCGGCGCCACTGGAGTCATTTGCAGCTTGAACAGTCCTTTACCTTCACGGGCACCAATTTTCCACTTGGTCCCTTTCGCTTCTCCATAGCACCCATCCTTCGTGAACGTCACTGGGCCGACATCCTTGGTGAAGCGGCCGACCGAGAACAGGTTTCTGGATAACTTTGGGATGTGCCACACGTTTGTGAGCACACCTTTCTTCATCCCTTGGGGTGTCTTCATCGACATGACAATGTCCCCACTGCCGATTGCTTGGACGATTCCATCATCCGCGAGATGGACATCCACAGCGTCAAACCCCTTGTAGTTCCGCATGAACTTCTTGGAGCACGTCATGTGCTGCGTCGCCCCGGAGTCGACCAGCCAGATGTCGCTCGATTTCGCAGATGTCGTTTCACCGATTGAAAAGAGGTAGTCGCCCGAGTCTTCTTCTTGAGCGACGTTTGCACGTTGTGATCGATAGCGGTCGCCGCTGTCTTGAGCACGCTGTGGCCGGTGTCTCTCCGTGTTTTCTTGGATGCGCGAGGGGCACTCCGCCATCCAGTGACCAATCTTTCCGCAATTGTGGCACGGCCAGGACTTCTTCACTGGTCGCCCTTTGCGCTGATTGTCCCTTGTGATGAACGCTTGACCTTGCGAAACTTCATCACCTTTACTTCCTTGCTCCTTCCGCTTCATTTCTTCATGAAGCAGTCGAGACGTCACGAGCTCCCAGCTAAGAGTGTCTGAGCGCGACTCCAAAGCTGTGATCAAGAATTGATACGAGTCACTCAGGCTGCCGAGGAGTGTGATCACCAGATCGTCCTCGCAGACTGGAGCCCCCACCGCTTCTAGCTGTTCCGCCAGCGTCTTGAGCTTGTTGATGTGTTCGAGCACATCGTCGCCTTCTTCCATCATTGTCGTGAAGGAGCGACGGCGCAAGAACAGCTTGTTGGCAAGACTCTTCTTCTCGAAGTAGTCTTCCAACCTTGACCATGCGTCGCATGCACCACTTGCCGACCGGACCAACGGTAGCTGGGAATCTTCCATGGCTAGACAGATTACTGCCATCGCCTTTCTTGACTTCCTCTTGTACGTCGCTTGGTCCAACTGAGTCTCGCACTGTTCCGCCTTGATCTCACCGCTGACGACCTCCCATAGGTCCCGTTCCTCCAGCACCATCTGCATCTTGAACTTCCAGGCGTGGAAGTTAGTTCCATCGAACTTGGAGATGCGGAGGGAGGAGGCGTCCATGGCAGCTAAGCTTGAATTGTTGGCGGTTTCAGAGTCTGACGAACTTGGGCTCATAACCTGATGAACTTTAGACTTCTTGGTCCGAGTGCAAAACGCAAAGCGAATATATATTTATAATAGGTACTTAGTTCGCAACTTTGAATACTACCTCTAAGCCCATTATTCGCAGTGACGTCATCCAGTGACGTCACCCACTGACGTCACCCACTGACGTCATGCAATGACGTCATCCAGTGACGTCATTTCCTGACTTCGCCCTTACTGGTACATACCGGTACCCACCGGTATAGCGAAGCTTGGTCTTCCACTTGCTTCAACACTTGACGCAGCTTGACGAGGTGTCTTCTTCACAGCCGCTGTCTTTTCAACAATGCGCGTGTTTGGATGTCGGGCGTTTATCCTGACACCAAGGGAGAAGCGATTGAAGTGGGACCCGAAGGCTCGTGAAGGGATGTTCATGGGCTACGAAGAAGCGTCAAAAGCTTATCGAGTGTACGACATTGAGGCGGGCCAAGTGGTGATCAGTCGTGACATCACCTTCGACGAATCGACTTTTGACTTTTCGATGGACCGACCAAGTGACGATGATGAAGATGCGGAGTTGGACCTCGACCTCCTGGCGATCAACGAGGACGACGTGCGTCAAACCGTCTACAAGCAGACTGGCAAGCGCAAGAGTGAAGCAAGACCCGGCATGTCACGTTCAGCTCGCCCTCGAACTGGGTTGGAACAAGCAAGTGCGCCGGAATACGTCTCCAACCGTCACCAGAAACGACGATCAAGTGCTCCAGAAACGATGTCTGATGACGAAGAAGATGCAAGCGTCTACAATCAAGATGACGACTCGACGCCTCCAACATTTTGGCGTGCAAGTGCAAACGCAGTGGAAGCAACGGACCTAGCAGAACCTGTGACTTTTCAAGACGCGATCAATGGTCCTGATCAAGCTCACTGGCGAGATGCTGTGAAGGCGGAACTCAAGTCGATGCATCTTCGTGGAGTTTTCCGTGCGGCAAAACTGCCAAGAGGCCAAGGCGCGATCGGCACCAAGTGGGTGTTCAAGATCAAGCGCAAAGCGGATGGATCGGTCGAGAAATACAAGGCGCGTCTCGTTGCCAAGGGCTTCAAGCAGAAGTACGGCATCGACTACACAGAGACGTTCTCGCCCGTGGTCAAGTACGTGACACTGCGTATGGTGATCGCGATCACCAAGTATTTCGACTGGCCACTGGACCAACTCGATGTGGTGACAGCCTTTCTCTACGGAGTGATGAAGGAGAAGGTGTACTGCGTGATACCAGAAGGCGTCGAGATGGATGGCGACTTCGACTGTCTCGAGTTGGTGAAGGCGATCTACGGTCTCAAGCAAGCTTCACGTGTGTGGAACGAGACTTTCGACGAGTTCGTATGCTCCATCGGTTTCGAGGCGTCGGCGTTCGATCCATGTCTCTACATCAAGGTTGTCGACGGTCACTGTGTGCTCGTGCTGGTCTACGTGGATGACGTGTTGGTCACCGGCAGCTCGCTCGAGTTGATTGCGCAGACGAAGGCCGACCTCAAGACGCGTTTCGAGATGACCGACAGTGGCAAGTGTACTTTTGTACTGGGCATCGAACTGGTGGATGAATCGGATGGCAGCGTGACGATGTGCCAGCGACGGTATGTCAACGACATCCTCAAGCGCTTCGGCATGGATGAGTGCAAGGCCACAGCAAGTCCGGTCGACTTGAGCACTCGGCTTGTCGCAAGCACCGAAGCGGCCAAGATCGACGTTCCGTTTCGTGAAGCTGTGGGAGCTTTGATGCACTTGACGACTGCGACGCGCCCGGACATTGCGTATGCTGTGGGGTACGTCTCGCGCTTCATGGAGAATCCGCAGCAAGAACATTGGACGGCGGTGAAGCGCATCTTTCGTTACTTGCAAGGGACCAAGTCGCACGGACTCCGCTTCCAGCCAAGCGACAAGATCGACTTTCGTGGCTACTCGGACGCGGACTGGGCCGGCGACCACGCTGATCGCAAGTCGACTTCGGGTTACACTTTCATGCTGATGGGTGCTCCTGTGAGTTGGGGAAGCAAGAAGCAGTCAAGTGTGTCGCTGTCGACGAGTGAAGCGGAATACATCGCACTGAGTCTGGCCATCCAGGAAGGCAAGTGGGTGCATCGCCTGCTATGCAAGATTTTGGCGGCCGCAAACGAACCAGGACCGGACCTCGTCATCCGTGAAGACAACCAGTCGTGCATCAAGATGACGAAGAATCCGGTGAATCATGGCCGCGCCAAGCACATCGACATCAAGTACCATCACATCCGTGATGAGGTCAAGCGCGGTGAAGTGAAGCTCGAGTATTGCGAGACTTCCGTGATGATGGCGGACATCATGACCAAGGGACTTTCGGTACCTCGTCACAAGGACTTGACGACGGCTCTCGGCATTCGTGCGAGTTCGGATTGAGGGGGCGTGTTGATGGTCATCGGTTTCTACCAGTATTGGTAACCGTGACCGGTCCAATCCGAACCGCCTGTTCAGCTTAGTATTTACGACGTAGTTCTTACGGTAATTACCATAGTTGATTAGACGCGTAGGATGATGAGACGCTTCACATGATTTATATGTGCACCACATATAAATCATGTAGTAAGTAGTAAGCCCCGATAATCAATCACTTTCCAATCTTCCATCTACCCCCCCAAGTGTCTTCTCCGGTCTTCCGAGTAGACTCCCAGCATCACTCCCAGTTTCGGTCGTCAAGCTTTTCACCAATCAACATTCCTGTTGACGGTCATCGGTTTTCTACCAGTATTGGTAACCGTGACCGATCCAATCCGAACCGCCTGTTCAGCTTAGTATTTACGACGTAGTTCTTACGGTAATTACCATAGTTGATTAGACGCGTAGGATGATGAGACGCTTCACATGATTTATATGTACACCACATATAAATCATGTAGTAAGTAGTAAGCCCCGATAATCAATCACTTTCGAATCTTCCAACTATTGGGCAAGTGTTTTCTGCTCTACTCTCTTCGGTCTCTCCGCTCCGTTCGCTCCGCTTTCCTCGCTCCGATCTACATTGCAACAGGTTATGAGCCCAAGCGCAATGTCGTCCACCAGCAACGCCTCCATTGACAAGTTCAACGGAGACAATTACGCAACGTGGAGCCGGTACATGCGCGGTGTGTTTCTGACGAAGTCCGTCTGGCACGTCGTCAACCGTGAAGTGACTCCGACTTTCACCGACCCGCGAGCGTCCGATGACTACGTCAAGGCAAGCAACGTCGCGTTTGGTATGATGCTGCTGCACATGAACGCGGACTACCATCATGTGCTGGACAACTGCGAGGAAGCCTGGGTTGAGTGGACAAGTCTGAAGACGCTGTACGGTGGGTCGCAGAAGGCAGGACGCATCTACCTCAAGCGACAACTTTTCAGTATCAAGATGGCTGAAGGCGCGAACGTCATGCATCACTGCAACGAGGTCCTCAACATCTCCGCCAAGCTTAGCGGCATCGGTGCGAAGATGGAAGACGAAGACGTTGCGATCTGTCTGCTACTCAGTCTTCCGAAGAGCTACGAAAATGTGGTGCTCAACATGGAAATGAGCAGCACCGAGCTTCGCACTCAAGACGTGGTGAGAGTCCTGACGAATGAGCATGCCAAGCGTCAAGGAGAAAAAGGGACAACGACAGCGACTACGGTGAAGGCTGAAGATGCAAGCAAGGCATTCAGCGCCGAGCGTGAGCCCTACCAATGCACGTATTGTGGCAAGGTGGGACACACGGTGGATCGTTGCTGGACAAAGCAGAAGAACGAAGGTCGGGGAGCCCGACGCGGCGGCAATGGTCGTGGACGCGGGGGCTAACAATGTCCAGTGGGGACATCATGATGAAGGCAATGGCTACGATCGAGTGGCGTTTGCAGTCTCGTTCGAATGTGGAGTTTCGACGAGCAAGGACGTGTCTGGAATGTGGGCCGTCGACAGTGGTGCAACGCACCACATTTGCCACGACAAGACCAAGTTCGCAAGTTTGGCAGAGCGCAATGAGGGCGAACTCTTGGTGGCTGATGGCAACAAGGTGGCCATCAAGGGTGTGGGAACCATCATGGAAAAGGTGGTTCTGCCCAACGGTGAAGAGCGTGAGATCGAAATCAAGAACGCGCTATATGTTCCAAGTATGAGCAAGAACCTGCTCTCGGTGCCACAGATTAACAGCCATGGCAAGTTTCAAGTCGTGTTTGACGGGTCCAAGATGTATGTGACTCTCAAGAACTCACAGCAAGTGGTGGCGACAGCGGATCTCGTGGATGGACTCTACTGGCTTCGGACGACTCAACGATCAGCGAATGTGACAACAAGTGGAACCAGTTGTGCCGATCTACATGCGAGAATGGGTCATGCTACAGTCGACGTGCTTCGCAAGATGGTCTCCAACAACATGATCAAAGATGTGGGAGTGCCTCTCAAGTCAAGTGGATCAGGTACATGTCGAGGATGTCAGCAAGGGAAAATGGTCCAAAACCCATTCCCAAGCAATCGTGACAAGCGAAGCTACGATACGTTTGAGCTACTTCATCTGGACATCTGCGGGCCCATGGAAAAGGATTCGCTCGGTGGCAGCAAATATTTGCTGCTGATCATCGACGAAGCCAGTGGATGCATGAAGGGCTTTTGTCTACGAGTGAAGTCCGAGAGTAAAGACTACATCCGGAAATATATCACCATGGTACAGACGCAATTCTGTAAGAAGGTCAAGTTCGTGCGACACGACGGAGCTCGCGAGTTTGCAACCAACTCGCTTCAACTGTTCTACGAAGACGAAGGCATTGAACAGCAGACAACGGTGCCGTATGCACATCAAACAAACGGAACAGCAGAGCGTGCCATTAGGACTATTGTCACGATCGGCCGCAGCATGCTTCATCATGCCAAACTGGACAAGTGTTTCTGGGCCGAAGCAGCGATGACGGCCATCTACGTCAAGAATCGACTGCCGTCACCTAAAGTCGTGCACAAGACCCCGTTTGAGATCGTCTACAACTTGAAACCAAGCGTCAAGCACATGCGAACATTCGGGTGTCAGACATACATACTGACGCCTAAAGAGAATCGACTCAAGTGGGATCCAAAGGCTCGCGCTGGCATATTCGTGGGCTACGAAGAAGTTTCGAAGGCATATCGTGTTTATGACATCGAGGCGGGGCAGGTGGTTATCAGCCGCTTTTGACGGTCATCGGTTTTCTACCAGTATTGGTAACCGTGACCGATCCAATCCGAACCGCCTGTTCAGCTTAGTATTTACGACGTAGTTCTTACGGTAATTACCATAGTTGATTAGACGCGTAGGATGATGAGACGCTTCACATGATTTATATGTACACCACATATAAATCATGTAGTAAGTAGTAAGCCCCGATAATCAATCACTTTCGAATCTTCCAACTATTGGGCAAGTGTTTTCTGCTCTACTTTCTTCGGTCTCTCCGCTCCGTTTGCTCCGCTTTCCTCGCTCCGATCTACAATGCAACAGGTTATGAGCCCAAGCGCCATGTCGTCCACCAGCAACGCCTCCATTGACAAGTTCAACGGAGACAATTACGCAACGTGGAGCCGGTACATGCGCGGTGTGTTTTTGACGAAGTCCGTCTGGCACGTCGTCAACCGTGAAGTGACTCCGACTTTCACCGACCCGCGAGCGTCCGATGACTACGTCAAGGCAAGCAACGTCGCGTTTGGTATGATGCTGCTGCACATGAACGCGGACTACCATCATGTGCTGGACAACTGCGAGGAAGCCTGGGTTGCGTGGACAAGTCTGAAGACGCTGTACGGTGGGTCGCAGAAGGCAGGACGCATCTACCTCAAGCGACAACTTTTCAGTATCAAGATGGCTGAAGGCGCGAACGTCATGCATCACTGCAACGAGGTCCTCAACATCTCCGCCAAGCTTAGCGGCATCGGTGCGAAGATGGAAGACGAAGACGTTGCAATTTGTCTGCTACTCAGTCTTCCGAAGAGCTACGAAAATGTGGTGCTCAACATGGAAATGAGCAGCACCGAGCTTCGCACTCAAGATGTGGTGAGAGTCCTGACGAATGAGCATGCCAAGCGTCAAGGAGAAAAAAGGGACAACGACAGCGACTACGGTGAAGGCTGAAGATGCAAGCAAGGCATTCAGCGCCGAGCGTGAGCCCTACCAATGCACGTATTGTGGCAAGGTGGGACACACGGTGGATCGTTGCTGGACAAAGCAGAAGAACGAAGGTCGGGGAGCCCGACGCGGCGGCAATGGTCGTGGACGCGGGGGCTAACAATGTCCAGTGGGGACATCATGATGAAGGCAATGGCTACGATCGAGTGGCGTTTGCAGTCTCGTTCGAATGTGGAGTTTCGACGAGCAAGGACGTGTCTGGAATGTGGGCCGTCGACAGTGGTGCAACGCACCACATTTGCCACGACAAGACCAAGTTCGCAAGTTTGGCAGAGCGCAATGAGGGCGAACTTTGGTGGCTGATGGCAACAAGGTGGCCATCAAGGGTGTGGGAACCATCATGGAAAAGGTGGTTCTGCCCAACGGTGAAGAGCGTGAGATCGAAATCAAGAACGCGCTATATGTTCCAAGTATGAGCAAGAACCTGCTCTCGGTGCCACAGATTAACAGCCATGGCAAGTTTCAAGTCGTGTTTGACGGGTCCAAGATGTATGTGACTCTCAAGAACTCACAGCAAGTGGTGGCGACAGCGGATCTCGTGGATGGACTCTACTGGCTTCGCGACGACTCAACGATCAGCGAATGTGACAACAAGTGGAACCAGTTGTGCCGATCTACATGCGAGAATGGGTCATGCTCCAGTCGATGTACTTCGCAAGATGATCGCGACCAACATGATCAAGGATGTGCGAGTCCCTCTCAAGTCGGGTGGAGCAACTACATGTCGAGGATGTCAACAAGGGAAAATGGTCCAAAAACCATTTCCAAGCAACCGAGACAAGCGCAGCTACGATACGTTTGAGCTACTTCATCTGGACATCTGCGGGCCCATGGAAAAGGATTCGCTCGGTGGCAGCAAATATTTGCTGCTGATCATCGACGAAGCCAGTGGATGCATGAAGGGCTTTTGTCTACGAGTGAAGTCCGAGAGTAAAGACTACATCCGGAAATATATCACCATGGTACAGACGCAATTCTGTAAGAAGGTCAAGTTCGTGCGACACGACGGAGCTCGCGAGTTTGCAACCAACTCGCTTCAACTGTTCTACGAAGACGAAGGCATTGAACAGCAGACAACGGTGCCGTATGCACATCAAACAAACGGAACAGCAGAGCGTGCCATTAGGACTATTGTCACGATCGGCCGCAGCATGCTTCATCATGCCAAACTGGACAAGTGTTTCTGGGCCGAAGCAGCGATGACGGCCATCTACGTCAAGAATCGACTGCCGTCACCTAAAGTCGTGCACAAGACCCCGTTTGAGATCGTCTACAACTTGAAACCAAGCGTCAAGCACATGCGAACATTCGGGTGTCAGACATACATACTGACGCCTAAAGAGAATCGACTCAAGTGGGATCCAAAGGCTCGCGCTGGCATATTCGTGGGCTACGAAGAAGTTTCGAAGGCATATCGTGTTTATGACATCGAGGCGGGGCAGGTGGTTATCAGCCGCTGTTGACGGTCATCGGTTTTCTACCAGTATTGGTAACCGTGACCGATCCAATCCGAACCGCCTGTTCAGCTTAGTATTTACGACGTAGTTCTTACGGTAATTACCATAGTTGATTAGACGCGTAGGATGATGAGACGCTTCACATGATTTATATGTACACCACATATAAATCATGTAGTAAGTAGTAAGCCCCGATAATCAATCACTTTCGAATCTTCCAACTATTGGGCAAGTGTTTTCTGCTCTACTCTCTTCGGTCTCTCCGCTCCGTTTGCTCCGCTTTCCTCGCTCCGATCTACAATGCAACAGGTTATGAGCCCAAGCGCCATGTCGTCCACCAGCAACGCCTCCATTGACAAGTTCAACGGAGACAATTACGCAACGTGGAGCCGGTACATGCGCGGTGTGTTTTTGACGAAGTCCGTCTGGCACGTCGTCAACCGTGAAGTGACTCCGACTTTCACCGACCCGCGAGCGTCCGATGACTACGTCAAGGCAAGCAACGTCGCGTTTGGTATGATGCTGCTGCACATGAACGCGGACTACCATCATGTGCTGGACAACTGCGAGGAAGCCTGGGTTGCGTGGACAAGTCTGAAGACGCTGTACGGTGGGTCGCAGAAGGCAGGACGCATCTACCTCAAGCGACAACTTTTCAGTATCAAGATGGCTGAAGGCGCGAACGTCATGCATCACTGCAACGAGGTCCTCAACATCTCCGCCAAGCTTAGCGGCATCGGTGCGAAGATGGAAGACGAAGACGTTGCAATTTGTCTGCTACTCAGTCTTCCGAAGAGCTACGAAAATGTGGTGCTCAACATGGAAATGAGCAGCACCGAGCTTCGCACTCAAGATGTGGTGAGAGTCCTGACGAATGAGCATGCCAAGCGTCAAGGAGAAAAAGGGACAACGACAGCGACTACGGTGAAGGCTGAAGATGCAAGCAAGGCATTCAGCGCCGAGCGTGAGCCCTACCAATGCACGTATTGTGGCAAGGTGGGACACACGGTGGATCGTTGCTGGACAAAGCAGAAGAACGAAGGTCGGGGGAGCCCGACGCGGCGGCAATGGTCGTGGACGCGGGGCTAACAATGTCCAGTGGGGACATCATGATGAAGGCAATGGCTACGATCGAGTGGCGTTTGCAGTCTCGTTCGAATGTGGAGTTTCGACGAGCAAGGACGTGTCTGGAATGTGGGCCGTCGACAGTGGTGCAACGCACCACATTTGCCACGACAAGACCAAGTTCGCAAGTTTGGCAGAGCGCAATGAGGGCGAACTTGCGGCTGATGGCAACAAGGTGGCCATCAAGGGTGTGGGAACCATCATGGAAAAGGTGGTTCTGCCCAACGGTGAAGAGCGTGAGATCGAAATCAAGAACGCGCTATATGTTCCAAGTATGAGCAAGAACCTGCTCTCGGTGCCACAGATTAACAGCCATGGCAAGTTTCAAGTCGTGTTTGACGGGTCCAAGATGTATGTGACTCTCAAGAACTCACAGCAAGTGGTGGCGACAGCGGATCTCGTGGATGGACTCTACTGGCTTCGGACTGTTGAAAAGACAGCGGCTGTGAAGAAGACACCTCGTCAAGCTGCGTCAAGTGTTGAAGCAAGTGGAAGACCAAGCTTCGCTATACCGGTGGGTACCGGTATGTACCAGTAAGGGCGAAGTCAGGAAATGACGTCACTGGATGACGTCATTGCATGACGTCAGTGGGTGACGTCAGTGGGTGACGTCACTGGATGACGTCACTGCGAATAATAGGCTTAGAGGTAGTATTCAAAGTTGCGAACTAAGTACCTATTATAAATATATATTCACTTTGCGTTTTGCACTCGGACCAAGAAGTCTAAAGTTCATCAGGTTATGAGCCCAAGTTCGTCAGACTCTGAAACCGCCAACAATTCAAGCTTAGCTGCCATGGACGCCTCCTCCCTCCGCATCTCCAAGTTCGATGGAACTAACTTCCACGCCTGGAAGTTCAAGATGCAGATGGTGCTGGAGGAACGGGACCTATGGGAGGTCGTCAGCGGTGAGATCAAGGCGGAACAGTGCGAGACTCAGTTGGACCAAGCGACGTACAAGAGGAAGTCAAGAAAGGCGATGGCAGTGATCTGTCTAGCCATGGAAGATTCCCAGCTACCGTTGGTCCGGTCGGCAAGTGGTGCATGCGACGCATGGTCAAGGTTGGAAGACCACTTCGAGAAGAAGAGTCTTGCCAACAAGCTGTTCTTGCGCCGTCGCTTCTTCACGACAATGATGGAAGAAGGCGACGATGTGCTCGAACACATCAACAAGCTCAAGACGCTGGCGGAACAGCTAGAAGCGGTGGGGGCTCCAGTCTGCGAGGACGATCTGGTGATCACACTCCTCGGCAGCCTGAGTGACTCGTATCAATTCTTGATCACAGCTTTGGAGTCGCGCTTAGACACTCTTAGCTGGGAGCTCGTGACGTCTCGACTGCTTCATGAAGAAATGAAGCGGAAGGAGCAAGGGAAGTAAAGGTGATGAAGCTTCGCAAGGTCAAGCGTTCATCACAAGGGACAATCAGCGCAAAGGGCGACCAGTGAAGAAGTCCTGGCCGTGCCACAATTGCGGAAAGATTGGTCACTGGATGGCGGAGTGCCCCTCGCGCATCCAAGAAAACACGGAGAGACAACGGCCACAGCGTGCTCAAGACAGCGGCGACCGCTATCGATCACAACGTGCAAACGTCGCTCAAGAAGAAGACTCGGGCGACTACCTCTTTCGATCGGTGAAACGACATCTGCGAAATCGAGCGACATCTGGCTGGTCGACTCCGGGGCGACGCAGCACATGACGTGCTCCAAGAAGTTCATGCGGAACTACAAGGGGTTTGACGCTGTGGATGTCCATCTCGCGGATGACGGAATCGTCCAAGCAATCGGCAGTGGGGACATTGTCATGTCGATGAAGACACCCCAAGGGATGAAGAAAGGTGTGCTCACAAACGTGTGGCACATCCCAAAGTTATCCAGAAACCTGTTCTCGGTCGGCCGCTTCACCAAGGATGTCGGCCCAGTGACGTTCACGAAGGATGGGTGCTATGGAGAAGCGAAAGGGACCAAGTGGAAAATTGGTGCCCGTGAAGGTAAAGGACTGTTCAAGCTGCGAATGACTCCAGTGGCGCCGGAACAAGCAAATGCAGCCAAGTCGTCGGGATGTCAAGGGGGCACCAAGTCGTACCTCTGGCACCTTCGGCTTGGCCACATAGGTCACGATGGACTCAATTGCATCGTGACGAAGAACATTGGAATTGGCATCGACATATCTTCGGTGAAGAAGTGGGACGTGTGTGAAGGTTGTGCTCTGGGGAAAACAGACTCGAGTGCGCTTCCAATCAAACACTACAGCTCGCACCTCCAAACTCCTCGAAGTGATTCACAGCGACGTATGCGGACCGATGTCGATGGCAACTTTCAGTGGAAAACGGTACTTCGTGACATTCATTGATGACAAGTCAAGATACTGTGTCGTCTATCTGCTCAAGAGCAAATCTGAAGTTGCGGCGAAGTTCATGGAATACGCTGCGATGGCCGAAACGCAACCGGAAAGCGCGTGAAGTACCTTCAAAGCGACAATGGGGGTGAATACAAGTCCGACAAGCTGGCACGATTCTGCGCGGAACGGGGAATACAACAAAGGTTCACACCCCCATATACTCCTCAGCTAAACGGAGTAGCTGAGAGAATGAATCGCACGCTGGTCGAGTGTGCGCGTTGCATGATGGAACACGCTGGACTGGGAAAGAGCTACTGGGGTGAAGCAGTGATGACGGCGATGTTTCTTCGAAACCGCTGTCCAACACGTGCCATTCACCAAGACAAGTCTCCATATCAAGTGTGGACGATGAAGAAACCGATTCTGGCCAACCTTAAAGTGTTTGGATGCCACGCGTATGTTCAAGTGCCTCAAGACAAACGCGCGAAGTTCGACTCCAAGTCATCACTCTGTCGTTTCCTGGGATACGCCGAACACCAGAAGTCATATCGATTTGAGGAAGTGTCAACAGGAGCGATCAAGATCAGTCGCGATGCCACATTCATGGAAGACAAGTTTGATGAAGGTCCGCGCAACTACAACGATGAGTCAAGTGTCGTTGAGTTTGATGATCATGATGAGGACGAAGAAAAAGAAGAAGGTAAAACTGACGACGACATGGACTCGAGCGACGATGACAACGAAGACACCAGGTCTTCGAAGAGCAACATCAAGAGACACACGCGCACTCAATCACTTGAGAAAGCTACCGTCATTCCAAGTCCCAAGCGAAGAACATACAGAGGTCCGTCGCTTGAGCATGTGTCAGCGGCTGCAATGGATTTTGAAGCAGCCTACATCGTTGATTCAGTGGGGGAAACGCCGACTACATTCAAGTCGGCGATGGAATCAAGCGACTCCGGCAAGTGGAAAGAAGCGTGTGACTCGGAGTTCGATTCGCTTCAGAGAAACGACACGTGGGAAATCGTGCCTCTTCCGAAAGGTCGCAAGGCCATCGGGTGCCGATGGGTTTTTCGTGTAAAGGAGAATCAAGATGGCGAAGTTGAACGTTTCAAGGCAAGACTTGTGGCCAAAGGATTCTCACAGAAATTCGGAGTTGACTATGAAGAAACTTTCGCACCGGTGGCCAAGTTCACATCGATTCGTGTGGTGCTCAGTATGGCGGCTAAGTACGGCCTAATGCTACATCAGATGGACGTCAAGACAGCGTTTCTTAACGGCTCCCTCAACGAAGACATCTACATGGACCAGCCGGACGGATACCTGGATGCAACACAGCCGGACTATGTGTGCAAGCTAAAGAGATCACTCTACGGCTTGAAGCAATCGCCTCGCATGTGGAACCAAACAATCGATGGGTTCATGATCAAGATGGGATTCAAGAAGTGCGAATCGGACCACTGCATCTACATCAAGCGAGACGACCAAGACATGATTCTCGTGGTGCTCTACGTCGATGATCTCATCCTGGCCAGCAGCAACAACGAACTCCTCAAGTCAACCAAGATGGCGCTGAGCAAACGCTTCGAAATGACGGATCTCGGTGAGCTCGATTACTTTCTCGGCATGGAGATCAAGAACGACCGTAAGACGGGAATGGTGACTGTACAACAAACCAAGTTCCTCAAGTCCGTGTTAACCAAGTTCGGGGGAATGGGATAACAGCAAGCCCAGTGAATGACGCCCTCAAGATCCCGGCCTTTTTGAAGCTAACCAAGAAATATGCGTGAACAAGAAAGTGCAAGCACGAAGACCACCATGTGCAACGTGCCATATCGAAGTGCTGTCGGAGGATCATGTATCTCATGGTAGCAATTACGTAACTGAACGAAGCAAGGCTACCTTTTGATGTCTTTCAAGAGCATCATGAAGATCGTCAACCGTGTTCCTGCTTACCCTGTTCATCATCATCGCCGCTGCTGTCGAACAGTGTGCGTCCTCTCCAACAGTCGCGGAGTTCCGCTGCCGAAATACCTGGACTTCAACAAGGTGCTTTTCTTCGAGAGGCTTCGGGTCCGTCACCGGGAGGCAAAGGGCATCGAAAACTAGTAACGCACACCCCTGACAGTACCGTGAACTCTTGCTCGGAGCGTGACCACAATCACCGAACCCATTGCGGGCAGACTCAACTGCCATGTAAACGATATCACCGTCGACGGCAAGACCTGGGTTCGGGGTGCCACTGCAGCTCCATCGACCAGAGCAAAACTTCAACGACAGCGCGCCCGTCGAATGTCGACCCCACGTCGGAAGCCTCCTTCCCGCGTAACGACACCAGCCTCGTGGCGCGACGATAAAAGAAATAAAAACAGTGTTGAGCTCAGTCATGTTAAGTGTATTGCAGATCTCTCTGTAGTCCAGCACTGTCTCGAACTTTGTACGCCACTCTGCACTTTGTGTATCCAATGCCGCTTCCATGACGACTCCAAGCTCGTTGACAGGATGTCCCACGCATGTTGCGCCTAAAGCATTTGTCCCGTCTATGACTTGAAGTGACCACGTGTACGAGCGACTTCCTTTGTGTAGACGAATGCTCTTTCGATCAGAGTCGGCGACCACTTTCGATCAGCATTTAGCTGTAACGGAGACGTGTCATTTGATACTCACACTCAAGTACGAGTGACTATTTTTGCTATCTGGCACCGTGTCTGTTCCAGTACCAAAAAGCGCCTTGACAAACAACACGATCCTCCACATGAGCGCCGCTACCGACGAGTTGTTCAACCAAGGCACGTGCGAGAGGAAGATGGCTGTCATATTTGATATACAAGTAGCAGCATAACGGCGGTCTCTGAATCCTAGTTGTCGCTACGTAAAGATCAGGGGATTATACAAGAACGACTTTTTCTTGAATCGCCAAATTCCAGCTCCTCCATTCGCCGTTTCAATAGGGTTGGGCGACGCTGAGTAACATCTCGCCGTATGCATGGGGTAATGCGACCTGCAATCGAACCAGGCTAGTGTACTTAACTCATGTCAGGTACTCTACCCTACCGTCGACTGGTGCCACTCCTAGCTGATCAGGTTCCAGTGAATGGTGAAGGAAGCAACTTCATTAAATGCTCACGAGTTCACCGACCTAAAGACATGCGTAAGGTTGTTCAAGTCTAGTGTTTCACTTTTCGAAACAAGATTGTATCACTTCAGGGATTGGTGATATTCACAATCTTACTAATCCAAAGGCTTAAATCGAATTAAATACGGTAATTTAAAGGGGTGGTGGCTGGGTGGAC